AGGGGGGAGCTGAGGTGGAGGGAGGGGTGGGAGGGGGTGGTCCAAGGCTGCAGGGGAGCAGTTGGGGCAGAGGTGGCAGGGGGCAAGCTGCTTGACCTCCCCACACCACCTGCTCCCCACTATGTGTTTCCCTGCAGCAGTGGAGGAATGAATTAAAGGTGACCCCTCCAATAATTAGATTCTGTATATGGAAAATTATAACAAATTTATAAATTTTTCATGTACAGAACCTAATTATTGGGGAGTCATCTTAAATTCATGTTTTTCTTAGATTGCAGTAGATGGGTATTTTAAAATATTTCCCTCTTTTATTAAAAAGAACTAAACCCTCTTTAAGGTTCAGAGATTTTTAACTTTAAATTGATGTGGTACCTATTTGGTTTAATTTGCTATTACAGGATTGTAATGATCTAGAATCATAAGAAATCGTTAGCCTAGAAAGTCAGGATTCCTGCCACTGTTAATTGCATTGCTGATACTGTTCCTTAAAAATTGCAGGAATACAGTAAGCTTTATTTCACATATTTTTGAGTAAGAATCTCAGATATTTCCTTTAAAATGTTTGCTCTGACTTATGACTTCAAATTTTATTCAAAATATTGAATAATTGGGTTCAGTTGTGTTTTGTTACACCCTTGCTTTCTTTTTCCTAGGAAAACACTAAAATTCTTCAGCAGTTGCTTCCCTTAAGGGCAAAAGTAGCAGAGCTTCTTGGATACAACACACATGCCAACTTTGTACTGGAGATGAACACTGCAAAGAGCACAGATAATGTAACAACCTTTCTAGGTTTGTTGTAATTTATATATTTATATTTAGATCTGCAACACGACTCCTCAGCCAATATAGTCTTAAATATGTAACTGGGTCACAGAGCACACAAGAATCATCAGGAAAGGAAGCTCTGCCTCGCACTTTAATACTTTTAGCGTTATATCTCCATACCCTGGTATAAGTACATTAAATACAATGGAAGTTGCAAGCATGCATGAAGAATATAAGTAAATCTGTTGGTTGTAAGGGGCTCCAGAGGAACAGTTTAGAATTTCAATGCAGTGGTTTTCAACCTTTTTTCATTTGCGAAATCCTAAACATTTTAAAGTAGAGATGCAGACCTCTTTGGAAATTTTGAATGGAGGTACAGAACCCTTTGAATTGTAAGTGTGGGTATTCACATAGTTCTATCCCCAGTCACTGCCTCTAGTGGATGCTTTGGAAGAAGGAAAAACTCCCACAGTGTATTTTTCTTCCACTATTGCAGACAGTAACACTTTGCTTGACCATGTTGGCCTTCGGAAGATTGATTTTTTTTTTTTTGATAGGGCAACTGGCAATGGTGTATTCATTCATAACATTGAGGCACAACATGGCTGATAGTAGTCATGGGTTCTATTATATTTTTAAAATACTTCTAATTTTTAGTCATTCTGAGGTTTTTGCATTTGGGCAGGTGGATCTGATGGCAACAGCTAAACAGCTTTCATTGAGCAGCTTGAATGCTGCTAAGTCAGACCTGAGTTATAGGTCTACTCAGCATCAGGAACTCAGCAACAACATTGCGCTTATAATCGAAAGCTCTGGACTAGAAATTCTGTTTCTCTAGAGATAATGAGTTGTGGTTTTGCTAGGAAATAAAGTTAGTAACTACCTGCTTTTTATGTGCATTTAAGATTTCAATTATAACTCTGTATGAAGACGTTTTTCTATTTGGTGTATTTTCTATATTATTCTAAATTGGTTCCTATAAGTGCGCATCAGAAGAATATAATTTTTTTTTTTTTTTGCCTGGAGGTAGTGTGAAACACTTTAATAGTGGCACTAGTAGCTGACATGGTGATTTAGAAAATTAATCGATGGGCTTATATTACTGAATTAAATTTTTAATATAACTCATGATGCTAACCCCTTGCAGACCTAATGGTGCAGAAGTCCATGTCCTCACATCTAGAACACACCTGAAACTAAAACTTTAAAAACAGGAAGGCAAACAATAAAATGGCCTTTGACCAACAAATAGAAAACCTTAGTGTCCCCAGTTGGACAGACACTTTAAAAAATGTATACATTCAAATGAGGGAATTTATTAGTAGTAGTAGGTTGATTCAGAAACAATTATCTTATTCTTATATGCACATATTCTCATTTTCAGATGATTTAAGTAAAAAGCTAAAGCCTTTGTCTGAGGAAGAGAGAGAGTTTATTCTGGATGTGAAGAAAAAGGAGTGTAAAGAAATGGGTTTTGAGTATGATGGAAGAATCAATGCATGGGATCTACATTATTATATGATCAAGACAGAAGAGCTTAAGTACTCCATAGATCAGGAGAAATTGAAAGAATATTTTCCAATCGAAGCTGTTACAGAAGGCCTGTTGAATATATACCAGGAGCTGCTGGGACTTGAATTTGAGCAGGTAGACAATCCTTGTGTTTGGCATGAGAGTGTCACTCTTTACACAGTAAAGGACAGATCAACGGGAGAAGTTTTAGGGCAGTTCTACTTGGACCTCTATCCCAGGTAACTCTCATTTTTGTTTTGTTTATTAAGTGTTAGAGATGAGGAGGTTTACCCTTAGGAGGTTGCTAGAACGGAGAGTTGAAGAAGTGAAATAAAGTAATTAACTAACTAACAGCATGTACAGACATTCACTGTCTCGGGAGAAACTTTTCTGGGAGTGATTTAACCTTGTTTTTTCCCAAGTTATTTTTCTCCCAGAGGGAGCATTTTTACTCCAGGAGAAAAACCCACAAGTGCACAGATGTTCAGACTTTTCCAGGAGAACAGTGATTCTCCCAGAAGAAATTGAATGTCTGTATGAGGCCTAAGAGGAGGAAAACCACATAAAGATAGGAGTCTCTTCCTCATACCTTTGTCAGTGGGCGACCCTTCAAAGGTGACTCTGAACCCAAGAACATTCCTTGAATCTGACCTACGATTTGCCTTTCCCCATTAGAGATGTCTTATCCTTCCTGGTCTCCCTTCTCCCCTCCATATCCTACTTCTGAAAGTGTCCTTGCTTCTGTTTTCTTATCCTTGTGCCCCTCCCAACATATTATACAGGGGCCTCTTCTCTACTCTAGGTAGCAGGAATTCCCTATGTATCTCACTTAATATTGTCCTGAGGAGCAGACTTGAGGCCCAATGTTGAACCAGGACAAAATTTCCTAGATCCTTTCACAAAGATTGATCAATCCTAAGGACAGCCATCAGGATCATGTACAAGGAAGAACTTTCTCTTTTTGGAAAGGATTTCAGAACTCAGGTCTGCCAGAGAGCCAGATCCATTCCATCTGACACCACTGAAAAGAACATTAATGTTGTATTGGGACTTGGTCTTGTTGCCACAGTTTTATTCCCAAGCCTTCATCTCTTCCTGCTAAGAGCCCTCTCAAGTTACAGAAGAAAACTCAAGAGATTTTTGTCCAGTATTGAGAAAAGTATCCATCTCTTACTAAGAAGAACTGCTTCAGCAGGATCCCATTTGACATCCCAACCCCACAACCTCAAGTCTAAGAGACAGGTGCTTTGAAGCCAAGTATTTATGGGAAGCTTTTGATCATTTTCTTGAATTTATGGAAGAAAAAGGTTTCCATTGCCTACCACTAGATTTAGGTAGCCCTCTCCATCAGTGCAAATCATATAACCTTAATCCTGAAAACCTTTCTTCCTCCTATGCTGGGCTTCCTTCAGGCAGTGTTTGAGAAGTGAGGCATCTTCAGTTAATCTTCCTTCTCTACCCGTAGGCCATAAGTCTTAATTATTTTTGTGGGGACTTTTTCTAACTTTAAGGCCCTTTGAACCTTTGATTGCTTCTTCTTCATCTCATGGAAAATTGGTTTTGGCATGGCAGGTTACAGCCTTGTTCAACATCATTATTCAGGTTTTTTAGACAAGGTCTATCAGTTTAAAAAAAAGCCAAGAAGTAGTGAGCACCTAGTATTAATGTCAAAGAGCTCAAAAGGTAAAAGGCCCACTCAAGCTCAGATGACCCATGAGGTTAGCATAGTTAAAACACCAGAGTTTCTGTAGCCAGTGACTCACAAGGAACATGGCTGGGAGCACATCCATTTGCCTTTGAGTATCCAGCCCAAATGACCAGGCATCCATTTACAATGGGCTAGACTTCAACTAGGATTGGAGCAGGGCTCAAACTTGTACATCTGAATATGTAGCAAATGATTCAGCTGCCTTGCCACTGTGACCCCATTAAAGTGAAAAGCAGATTTCATGCATATAATGACAGCAAATAAGAAGTAGGTGCACATTTTTTTATTTTTTTTTAGTGGCTCATTTTTAATTATCACAAGACTGTATGGCTGGGAGGGACCTCAAGAGGATCGCTGGTCTGTCCTCATGCTCTGTACAGGGTTGAGTATATCTAGACCATGCTTATTATTAACAGCCTTCAAGGAAGAGGATTCTACAACCTCCACTGCAATCCTGTTCTAATGCTTTACTATCTTTATTATTAGAATTTTTTTCTCCAATATCTTAACCTGAATCTCCGTTGCTAAAAATTAAGTTTTATTTCTTGTTCCTCTCTAGTGAACAAAGAGAAGTAATGGGGCTGATATGCTTTCCATATATAAGCACATGTTACAATGCAACAGTTTGTGAGGAAAAACAGATTGGAAATAAAAATGTGTTCTCTCATCCTTTATCTACATTAACATAATAGGCTGCTTACAGACATGAAAACCCCCCCACCATTTTACATTCAGTTCAGTGACCCCCCACTGAACAAAGCGCACGCCCAGAAGAGGCATCACATTAGTTGGACCTGTCTCCCCCAGCATCTGTATAGATTGTGTGCTTCAGCAGAGTTTCTTGGAAATTTTATCTAATAGCTGATTGAATCAGCTATTAGAAAAAAGTGCCAAAAAACCCTGCTGAAATAATGCCTGATTATTACAGATCAGATTAGTCCAGAGTTTTGCATTATTAGTGGGGCTTTTTGCCTGATCTATAATAGATTAGATTATGCCTATTTTTTACAGATGCTGGGGATACAGGTCAAACTGACATGCTTCCTCTTCTGGTAAAGCGCTGTTTTATTTTGTTTTTTCATGTCTGTCAGTGGCCTAATTGATTTCTATCCTTTTCATAGCAACCTTTTACATCTTAGAAGACTCCTTTAGTCTTAGTCCCTCCTCTGGTCTAAAGAAAACAAACCCATTCTTTTAAACTTTCCTCACTGGTCATGTTTTTCAAATCTTTTATCACTCCTGGAGTCTCTTCCTTTTTTCCAATTTTGTTAAATGTGCAACCCAATATTGAGCACAGTGCTTCAGTTGATGAGGCCTCTTCATCAGTGCCAAGACAAACAAGAGAATTACCTCCTGTATCTTACCTACAGCTCCCCTTTCTGTATCATCCTGGGATGATACTTGCCTTTTCTACAACAGTATCACATTTTTCTTTTACTGAGTTCCTGATCCATAGTAACTCCCAGGTCCTTTTCTGGAGTACTGCTGCCTAGTTAGATATTCCACATTTTGTATTTCTGCCCTTGATGTCTCTTTCCTAAGTGTAATATTTTACACTTGTCTTCAGTGAACTTCATCTTGTCTAATTATAGTCTGGTTCTCTAATTTGTAAAGAACATATTTGAATTGTAATTTTGTCCTGGAAGGATTTGCAACCACGTTCAGTTTGATGTCATTACAAATTGCGTTCTCTCCATTCCATTGTCAAAGTCATTAATTTAAAATACAAAATAAAACTGGACCTATGAGAGAAACATACTAGAAACTTGAAATTTCCTCCTACTCTGACAGCAAACTGTTGGTAAATGCCTTATTTACCCAAATCCAACACAAATCTATATTTAAGATGACCCCCTGCCCCAAAAATTAAATTAAGGCTGCACCGATAGATATTTGTGGCAGATACCAATAACCAATTTTTAAGGAGGCATATTAGCTGATACCGATCCAGTTTCCAATACCCATCCCAACAGCATGGAGAGCTGCCTCCAGCTGGTAAGTCTGGTGTGGTGAAAGGGGAGGGGAGACAGAAGGGGCTGCGGGAACAGATTAAGGCCCCTGTGGTGAGGGAGGGTGTGGGGCAGGGGCTGGGGCAAGAACTGCCCAACTGGGGCAAGTGCTGCCCAGCTAGGGCAAGGCAGGCATGGCACGGAGCCATGGCTCATCTTGGGGGGCAGGGGTGGGGGGGCAGCTCCCGTCGCTGTGTGCTGCTCGTCTGGGAGCTGCTGGTCCAGCAGCTCATCCAGTACTCACCTGCTCATCCAGCAGCTCCTGCTGCTCATCTGGGGGGATGTGTGCCCCCAGATCTGCACAGGGCAGGCTGGGGCCAGGGCTGCGCCAAGCTTTTCCCAGCAGGGCTGCACTGGGAAGGGGATATGAGCAGGGGGGCTGCAGCCACAAATTTGCTGTAGCCCCTTCTAAGTGCTGCCCTGTCCCGCCAGGAAGAGCTCAGTGCAGACCCAGCCCGCCCCAGACAGATCCAGAGGCACATACCCCCCACTGCCCTCCTGGATGCGCAGTGCGCAGTGGCAGTAGCCACACACACACCCCCAACGCCCTCCCAGACAAAAGCTGCACCTGCCGACCTCAGCTGAGCAGCTCTTGCCCTTGCCCCTACCCCACATCCTCCCTCATTTTCTTTATATTGGTGCTGATCCGATATCAGACCGATGAATCAGCGCACCTCTAATTTAGATTCTAGACACGGAAAATTTATAAAGTTGTTGGTGGGTTGTCTTAAATTCATTCCCTCACCCCCACTGCTACTGTGGGGCAATCAGTGTGGCAGTGGGGACAGACAGTAGGGGAGTCAGTGGCCTGACCCCTGTACCCCCTGGGTTGAGGCTAGAGTTAGAGCTGCAGCAGCTGCCTGACCCTTCCCAATTATACCTAAACTAAGACAAGGGGCTTTCCCCCCTCCCCCCATGTTAAATGGTGAAAAATATCTTGTCTTGGACTTAAGTACATCCAGAACTCACTGAGTGTAGTGTTTCAATCACTTTTGCACTTGCTTAGTGAAGATTTAATCTAGGCCACAAACTTTCCCAGTTTGTTTATAATAATGTCATCTAGAACAGTGTCCAAAAGTATTTATGTATGTCAAAATGTATTCTACTACAACCTCTTTTTTCATAAAGCCAGTTAACTGTCAGAAAAGGAAGTAAATTTGGGTGTATGTGATTTGTCCTTGACAAATCCATGTTGGCTGTTTCTTATCACCTGTTTTTAATATTTTTTTCTAATGTGTTTGAATATCAAAGTAAAGCTTCTCCAGGTCCTCCTGTTTCCCTTTTCAAGCTACATACCATATTTTCCCCTCAGCCATTGTCATATTAGTTCTTAAAGATAATTGCTAATGCAGATTTTTATAACAATTTTATAGAGAGGATGTCATATTTGATTTTTTTAAAGACAAATGCTTTACAATACCAGTACACCCTACTGTTTATTCTTTAAATATGTTTCAAGTTGGTACAAACGTTAATACTTCAGAAAATGAGATATTGTCTTTCATCTTATAATTATCAAAACCAGGGATACATCTACATTGCAGACTGCCAAATAATGAAGAGCTAGTTGTAAATGACAGAGCTCAGGTCGAAGAGGGCATTCAGAAAGTTTCTAACCTGACAAAGAAACAAACACTGATTTAATTCAACTGATGGTTTATTTTTAGAATAATCTTAACGTCAGTGTACATGGGATAAAATACTGTTGTTACTTAAAATTGCCAATAGCTCAAATTGAGTGAGACCTTAAAAAGGGGGATAAGGCAAAATGCTGTGTTTAATGATCACATGAAGCAGATACATAAGCTTGGACATACCAGTCATACAAACAGACATACATAAGTATACATACAAACAGACATACAGACAAAACCACTCTAGTAAGATGTTATAGTTACCAGCAGATGTTACTCAATATTAGCACGGGATGGCTGGGTCCAGGCTTATTGAGGGTATGAACGGGGATATACATGCATGCATTCCTGTGCTCCGTGAGGTTGCAGAGAATGGATTTCCCATCTTGGCTTGTCTGCATCTCACTTTTATAGGGATTTCAAGTCTTTGTTCAGCATTGGGGGTTTTCCATGCTCAGTCTTTAATGAGAGGTTGTTTCTTCTGGTAATCTCAACTTGAGGTCATTCCAGTGAAGTTGGTTATCTCTGCCTTGAAACACTGTGTAGTTCAAGTGGAAGGATATGAAAAGTTCTTTCTTCTTACTGTCGTCTTCGCACCTGATCACAGACGAGTTCTTCAGCCATCCATTAATTAGCTTAATTATTTTACTGTCTGGTAACTTATACACTAGCATCTCGTTGCTTATGCAATCAATTACATTTTCTTCTGTCTTCATGCAAATAGTTACCATTCTGACACCATTCACCCTCTCACATGGACACTCACCTACACAGGACATACAAAGTTCATCTACTCATGTCAAGCAGGGAACAAGCACAAAATTAAGTTTTAGTTTTCGTACAATCATAGAGGTTGATCAATTCAATACTATTATCATTTAAACATAATAACTAATATGCAAAAATTCATAGTACACTGTCTTCATCAGTACTCCTCAACTTAGCTTCCCATGGCACTTGTTCCTGATGGCCTTACTGTGACTCATGCCAACTTCTTGAATTTGTAGGAGATGAAGGGTATGAGTGCTTTCACTGCATCCTCTGCTGTTCGGTCTCAAGATCAAATTGGTTAACCTGTGGTTTGTCCTGAATCACAATCCTGTGCATGCTGTTTTCTGGGTTTGCTTGAAACTGCCCTAAAAGTTTCTTTGTAATGTCAAGTTGAATTGTTTTTGGCCAGTACTCAACATTCTTGGCACTGATCTTGCTAACATCTTCCTCATACCCAGATCCTCCCTGAAGATGGAATGCACAGACCCAGTGCTGTTGCCTACTGTCTCAGCTGTGTGCCTGATTATTAATCTATTGTTTTCATCACTGTCTTGTGGACTGTAGCAACATGTTCTGTTATGATAGCTTTCCAGGGATATCCTGACTTTAACTCACTCTCAAGGCTAAGTCTTCCTCGCATAAATTCAACTGCCAACATTTTTATTTTACTGTGGCATGTGAAGGGATATTATCCCTCACCTTCTCATGACGTTCTTTACAGTCAGGCCTTTCTTATTTGGGTACTTCTTTTTTTCTTTCTTTTTTTGTAACGTATTTATTTCTACAGGTCCTCAAACAAGGTCTCTGTACATAAAATAAATTACTGCTAACAAGCAAACACACCGAAACACTAGTACTTTGATCTGTTAAATCTGTCAGATTAAATGGGTCAGGCAAGATACTTTCTGAACATCAGTTATACCAAAAGCAATTTAGCCTCAGCAGCCTATAATTCAATGCAGGCTGACTTACCCTGCTGAGAAGCTAAGCTTGTTTACAGCTAGTTCTGTGCTAATAAGCACTGCACTCTGCATTGTCACCATATCCTTTATGTAAAGTAAAAATGACTTTAAGAAGGAGCAGAGTTGACTTTTTTTTATATATCTAAGGGCCCCCCCAGGTATGCAGGGACAGGCACAATAGGACTTGATGCACAACCCACACAATTGCACTTCCTACCATGCTACACAATGCATGGCAGGAGATATGATTGTGGGATCATGATCCCAGGCTCCCCTGCACTGGCAAGTAGCAGGCTCCTGCAGCTGGGCGCCCCCTCAGCTGGCTGGGCTCCCAGCCGCAGGGGCACACCATGCACTCCTGTGGCTGGGCACACCTGGATAGGATAGGAACCAACCACATTGTTATATATTTTTTGTGGAATAACTTTGTAGCTTGTTCCTGGTTTTATCACCCCATGAATTGATTGAATGTATGGCCAGGTCACAATTCAAGACATAATTAACTGTTTAATAACCTCGTAAGCATAACATATGGCAGTGGCCTAAGTAATAAGGGATTCAAAGGTTTGCATTGCTCTTTTTAGTGTTACACTGACAGGATTTAGAAAGTTTTTCATTGTGTTCTTAGCAGAATCTTAGGTGTAGTGACTTGTACAAAAATTATTGGATGTGCATTTAAATTTAATAAAAGAGATTTTATTGAAAGAGAAAGGACCCCTATCATTACTATTAAAATGTCATTTTAATAAAAGAGAAAGGACCTCTGTCTCATATAAAGCTGTAAGAGGAACACAGCCCCATTCTCCATATTACTTCCGGAAAATAGGCTTGTGATGTAAGGATGGTTTTTGGTATATTTTCTTGCTCAGAGAGGGGAAGTATGGGCATGCAGCATGCTTTGGTCTCCAGCCTGGCTGCCTTCTCTCTGATGGCAGCAGAATGATGTCTGTAGCTGCTCTGGTGACAAACTTTTCAGAACCGACTTCAGATCGCCCATCATTGCTGCGACACGATGAGGTGAAAACTTACTTCCATGAATTTGGCCATGTAATGCATCAGATATGTGCACAGGTTAGTAATGGTTCCATTAAAAGGTCTATTTCTATTTTCATGGTCTCTAAATATGGTGGGGTATATAATGTGGTGACTGTATTTGATGAGACTTATCCTGTCCCCTCTGAACAGGCTGAGTAACTGGCTGATCAGTAAATCACTCCAGGAGTAAGGAATATTTCCAACATATAGCACTAAACGTGATGGCTGCTACAGATATTGCTTGTTTTTCATAGTACCCAAATGTATTAAGTCCTCCAGAAACATAAAAAAGGCCCAGTTCCTGTCCCAAAGAGTTAAAATGGCCTGTGAATCAATACTTATTCATAGAGCTGTGTCCCTTGTTACAGAAGAGAGGAAGGCTGTGGTTGTGTTAGACCAAAGTCAGGAAGAAGGCAGGATATGAAAGGTCTAAGCTTTTGGAGACACCAGACTATTTCATCACCTGTTATAAATGGACTTGCAGAGAACAGGGATACTAAATAGAAAGAAATAAGATCAGGTAAATACAAAGGATAGTGAAAGAGGGAGGTAAGGAGAGGCACAGCTGTGAGAGGCAAAGGTAGATTGAAGAGATCGAAAGAATAAACAAAGCAGTTAACCCACTGAGGGACATAAGGGTTATAAAAGCTAAGCCAAGTAATGGAAGAAGAATCCAGAGTCTCTGTTGAGATTATACTTAATGTAATCCAGTCTGTGGATTCTTTTATTGTTCTGCAATTTTGTGTTCCAATTAACTTTTCAAGTTAGATTGTTTGAGAACAGCCCTGAGATTAGCAATGGCATGTCCATGGAGGTCAAAGTATTCTGTCACTGGCTTTCGTGTCTTTCTGGAATTGATGTCAAATTAGTGTTCATTCATTCTTTTAATGTATGGATCATTGTGTATGTCCAATATAAATAGAAGAGAGGCACTGAACACAGGTTATATCATGTATGACCTGTAGAGGAGCAGGCGAACGCACTCTGGATGTTATAATCTGTGTTTGGTCCAGCAATGATGTGGTCTGTGCTAGTGAGGGGGCATAGCAAGGCCTGGTGCCTTGGTGAGAGTAGTCTGTTCCTGAAGAGGAACCGTTTGAGGTTGGGAGGCTACCTGTAAGCCAGGATAGGCTTGTCCCCACTGACTGCCCCGAGATGGCCACCATTTGCCAGGAGTGTTTGGAGATCAGTGGTGTCCCTTATGTCCACCACTTTGTTTATCCCTTTTGAGCTCTTTAACCCACCGTTCTCTACCTCAGCAGTTCCCCCTGCTCCTATCCTTTCCTCCCCCTTTCCCTGTCCTTTGTATTTAAATTACTTTATTCTTTTTTGTTTAGTACCTTTGCTTTCTAGTAATCTATTAATAACATCTGATGAAGAGGACTTGGCTCCAAAAGTATATGCCTTTTTAAATGAGTTAGTCTCTAAGGGCACCTTTATATGTGCTTCGACACGCTCTGATTAATTAAATCTGCTGGAAAGTTCCAATCAGAATGCTCCAGCATGCTGCAGCGTCTCGTGTGCAGTGTCCCCACATTTCAAAATGGCACTGGGGACACTAACTAAAGGTCGTTGAACAAGCTTTAGTTAAAGCGTCCTCACCACCATTTTGAAATGCAGGATGCTAAATACAAGAGATGCTGTGGGCATTTTGATCGGAGTAGCTCCTGGAGCACATGTATAGGTGCCATAAGGTGCTACCCTGTCCTTCTTTGTGCTTGATACAGAAGGTAAACATACCCCTGGCCCAGGCGGTCTGAATGCTGCCTTCTACTTCCTTCTTCAGTGCCGCCATCAGACTTCTGCATCTCAGTGGAAGGGACTGATCAAAGACCTAAATAAACTTCTGATTTAATTTTCATTTGACCCATATTTATGAAAGATTTATTATTAGATGAGTTCCTTTGTGTTCAAAAGGTATAATCATCAATGTTTCTCATTCCGATTTGTAAATTTTACACCATCAACTCACAGATCCAAGGCTGATAGAATAAAGACATGTATAAACCTACAGATTAAACCTAGGATTAAATAGGTTTGATTCACCCCAAGATATTTCAGAAACAGTTTCAGATCTCACAGTTTAAGGAGCAAACTTTTCTCCTTTGCCACAGCTATTTAGGGGTTCCTAATAAAAAAAGTCCATTTAGATCTGCTGCTGAAGTGAGTGTAAAATTTAGGAAACCAAATAGAAATAGTCCTCAGCCCGCGGTGGGAATATAAGAGAGTCATGAAGTTCTGCTTTCAACTACCATTTCACTGCTGAAGTAGCTACCATGTCAAGTTTTGTTGCTCTATACCTGACCATTTATGTATACTGTATAATGAGCTAATCTGCATAATATGACAATAGAGGGGTAGGTGAGGATACATGGGGCTAATAAAGGATCTCTTGTCTTCTGCTGCTTTTGCCTTCTGAAGCCACTGTTGTTGTCATGGCCTCCCAGTTGTTGGTCCCTGACTGCAGTTCAGCAAGGGAGCCAATACAAGATGCCCTCTCAGTGCCACAGAGGACCTGATTGACTAAAAGATGCAGGAAGGCAGCAAACATTTGCCTGCATTTACACCTATGCTGACTGCACAAAAAGAAGCATGTGAGACAGCTGTTACTTGTGTGGGAGTCGCACGCTGTGCAACTCCTGGCAGTCATACATGAAATAATTCTATTACCATTCTGGAACAAGCTGGAAAATTTCTTCCCTTCAGGCATCTGCACCTGGCAGGGGAATTGGGGCCTGAAAAAAGAACAGCAATGCAGACAGGCATCATGGAGAGGCATTTTTGTGTCTAAAATTGTTGATTACAATTTCTATTGAGAGAGAGAGAGAGTGTAAAGCTATTTGAGGGTTTGAAAGGAAATGGAAGGTTGTGGTAAAATCCTTGCTTTCAATGCCAAATCTTTTTGAAAATATTTTGGCTTTGAAGGATAAAGATCCACGTTTCAGAACTTGTAAGCATTTCTAAGTGGAAAAAAGGATTCTGTATTGCAGAACTAATAGAGGCAAGGCAGATTTTTTAAACATGAGCAAATTAATAACACTTAATGAAGTAGTTAACCTGAAACACACAGCTGTGATTGATTTAGATAAGGGGTGGGCATTTATTTCGGCTGGCATGCCACTTAACGAGTTTGGTGAGCTCTTGAGGGCCATGCACATAATATCTTTCAAAAGATATCATTTGAACAAATTATAGATAAAAAATAGACCATATACTAAAAATCAAAAATCTACTATAATATAGTTTAATTATTTTTCAAAAAATAATTTTTGTCCTGACTTACATGGTTTTGAGTAGTGTATATAGAGGTGATTACATAATAGTTCAAAGTAGAATCTTACTCTTGTATATTGTGGAGAGGGAGTGGGAGGAGGGCATGTGCGTGTTTGGAGGGGCTGCCCACATGCTAGGTCCCAGAAGCCAGCTGGGGGGGAAGGGGGAAACAGGGGACACATGCAGCAGAGCTCGCCTGGGTGGTGCAGTGCAGGTGTGGTTCCCCTTTCTTCCTCCAGTCCAGCCTGGGGCAGTCTGCATTCCTGTCCATGCCTGCTGACAGCCCCAGCCAGCACACTCAGCTTCCTGGCAGGGCTGCTCCCAGTGTGGCTGCAGCTGCCTGGGTACTGCTTGACTCCCCCTGCCTCCGGTGGCTCCTCCTCTTCCT